GCTGTTCCTTAGTCCCTTGATCTTTGTAGCAAGAGAGTCTCTGCTGTCCTTTATACTGTTTTCAAGCCCAGCGATTAATTTTATGACTATTATTCTAAATTCACTTTCTGTTATATTGTTTAAATCGTTTTTGATCAGTTTGTTAGCTGTTGTTATTTCCTGGACTTTTTTTGAGGGAAATTCTTCCGTTTTGTCCTTTTGGGTAGTCCCTGGAGTGGTGGGGAACTGCGGGGCACTTCCCCTGTGCTGTCTTGAATAACTTGCGTTGGTGGGCGGGGCCACAGTCACACCTGATGTCTGCCCCCAGCCCACCGCTGGGGCCACAGTCAGACTGATGTGTGCCTTCTCTTCCCCTCTCCTGGGGGGTGGGGATTCACTGTGGGGTGGGGTGGCCCGTCTGGGCTACTTGCACACTGCCAGGCTTGTGGTGCTGGGGATCTGGCGTATTAGCTGGGGTAGATCCGCAAGGTGCACAGGGGTGGGAGGGGCAGGCTCAGCTCGCTTTTCCTTTGGAGATCCGCTTCAGGAGGGCCCCGCGGCACCAGGAGGGAGTCAGACCCGCCAGAGGGATGGATCCGCAGAAGCACAGCGTTGGGTGTTTGCGCAGTGCAAGCAAGTTCCCTGGCAGGAACTGGTTCCCTTTGGGATTTTGGCTGGGGGATGGGCCAGGGAGATGGCGCTGGTGAGCGCCTTTGTTCCCCGCCAAGCTGAGCTCTGTCCTCCGGGACTCAGCAACTCTCCCTCCCGTTGTCCTCCAGCCCTCCGGTTCTCCGAGCAGAGCTGTTAGCTTATAACCTTCCAGATGTCAAATCCTGCTTGCTGTCAGAACACACTCTGTCCAGCCCCTCCGCTTTTGCCAGCCAGACTCGGGGGCTCTGCTTGGCCGGCAGGCTGCCCCTCCGCCCCGACTCCCTCCCGCCAGTCCGTGGAGCGGGCACCGCCTCGCCGCCCTTCCTACGTGGGCCTCTCGTCTGCGCTTGGCCCCGGAGACTCTGTTCTGCTAATCTTCTGGCGGTTTTCTGGGTTATTTAGTCAGGTGTGGGTGGAATCTAAGTGATCAGCAGGATGCGTGGTGAGCCCAGCATCCTCCTACGCCGCCATCTTCCCAGGATTCCCTCTAGGTATATATTTTTTTTAGTTTCCTCTTTGATTTCTTCAGTGACCATTGGTTGTTTAATAGCATGTTGTTTAGCCTCCACATATTTATGTTTTTTTCCAGTTTTCTCGCGATTGATTTCTAGTGTCATCCCATTGTGATTAGAAAAGATGCTTGATATAATTACAGTCTTCTTAAATTTTTTGATACTTGTTTTATGGCCTAATATAATCTGTCCTGGAGAATGTTTATAGCATTGTGGTTCATGGCTTCAGGGGTGGGTTTTCTGTGGTTTCTGTCTCTCTTCCATCTCTCCTGCCGTTCTCTTTGTGGTCCCTCTATCCTTTGTTGTGCAGATGTTCAATCAGCCCTCAGTTCTTCAGAATAGATTTCTCTATAGGTAGGTGTAGATTTGGTATGACCTTGGGAGGAGGTAAGTTCAGGGTCTAACCATGACACCATCTTGGACATATCTTGCCTGTGTAGATGTTATTTATATAGGTTTTAGGGATAAAATAAAGAAACTGCTCTTTCCCTCCATCCTGCTACTCCTAAGAGGACTGCATCTCAGCTATAATTCTTTTCCTCATACATGTTTTTGGATGACTATCCTTTAAACATTAGGCTCTCAAATATAAATGACTGATATAATTAGAAAAATAATTAGAAAGACTTGCAAATTAATCCACATGTCATCTGCATTGAAATATCTCTGGATCCTTTCCCTTAGCTTTTTAATGAAATAGTTTACTCTTGAACATTGGAAGCATGCTAACAAGTTCAGCTGTTTGTTGGGTTCTTGTCCCCCAATGCCACATTAATCATTTTTATAAAACAATGAACCAGTGGGAAGCATGTGAACTTTTTCTTTTGGACTCTGATTACTTGAATTTCCTTTTTTCCCCACAATTCATCACTGTTTGTAATTTATTACTTCACCTGCCAAGCTGCTTTTCCCATATCTATGTGAATATTTCTGTATTTGAAGTTGAAGTTTAAACACTGAAAACCTCCAGGTTTTCCTTCTGAAAAAGCTGAAGTTTTTTTTTTTGTTTTTTTTTTTTTTTTTTTTAATTTTTGGGACAGAGAGAGACAGAGCATGAACGGGGGAGGGGCAGAGAGAGAGGGAGACACAGAATCAGAAACAGGCTCCAGGCTCCGAGCCATCAGCCCAGAGCCTGACGCGGGGCTCGAACTCACGGACCGCGAGATCGTGACCTGGCTGAAGTCGGACGCTCAACCGACTGCGCCACCCAGGCGCCCCATGAAAAAGCTGAAGTTTTGATTGGTTGTTTTGCCTTAAATTTTGAGTGCCTCTTCAGCTTTCTTTGAATGATTACATTTTTAGTTTTCTAAATTTTCATCTTGTTTTTTTTCCCCTAACTGAAGGATTTTCTTTTACTTTGCCATGATTTTTTAACCTATCTTATTTTATTTTGTGTTTATATGTGTGTTTGTGTGGTTATTTTTTTAATCAGGTTGACACATGTACATACTTTAAGGTAGGGTGTCTTAACCTCAACACTATTGACATTTTGGACTGCATAATTCTTAGCTGTTGGGGATGTCCTGTGGATTATAGGATGGTTACCAGCATCCCTGGCCTCTACCCACTAGATTCCAGTAGCACTGCCCTTCTCTACCCTGCCCCAATATGGCAGCCAAAAATGTCTCCAGGCATTGTCAAATCTCTCCCTTGAAGGGCACAAAATTCTCCCTAGTTGAGAACCACTGATTTAGAGAGTCAAATATAATTTTATAAGGCTTCTGATGGGAAAAAAATGGCAATCCCTCTGCCCCTTATCTCTTTTTTCTCTCCTATTTTTCAGCTTGTCTTTTTGCTCTACTTTCTGCGAGATTTCTTTGACATTATTTTACGATGTTCCCTTCATGATTTAATTTTCAAGAGCTTGTTTTTGTTCTCTAAATATGTTTTATACTATCCTCCCTTGTTTCATAGCTGAAACATCTTCTCTTATCGTTCTGAGGGTATAAATTAGTATTTTTACAGTCGTCTTTGCCCAGCATAGTCTTTTTCCTACAGTTTGTGTTTTTCTGTTTTGATCTCTATTTCCAGCATGTCTGGAGAATGGGCTATCTCTTCCTATTTAAGAATTGAAGACCAAAAGGCTAATTGGAAGCCCCAAAGACATTGATAGTGCTGGTCAACTACAAGTTTTACTGAAGAGTGATCTGGCTAAGTTAGTTCTTTACTGACCAGACCTCTGTTATCGATATCTTAGGTCTTCTTTGTCTAGTCACGTTCCCCTGAGAAGATTGTTTCAGTTTCCTGCCTGAAGATGAAGGTCTGACTGTAGCTTTCATGAAGCCACATGGAAAAGGAAACGTGAAGGGTCTCATATCTATTTCACATACTTTAATTGAATTGCCCTGTTTGTAGGATTGTACCGTTGGCTCTCAACTCTGCCTGGAGTTCCCTGGTGCAGATACCTCAGTTTTGCCTCTGTTGTTGGAGTGGAAAAAGGGATATTCACCCAACTGTAGACAATAGAGAGGAGATTGGGGGATTCCTAAACTGATTTGCAACCAGTCCTCCTTATTTCACCCCTCCCTTTCACCTCCACTTTTGGAGGTACCAGGTGCTGCCAATTCTTGAGCCTTCTAGAAATGTGTTATAAAACACAGGGGTTCTTGGCTTTCCCTGCTGCTGGCTTAGGATACAGCCTTTTCAGATCAGCTAAGTCATTTAAAACTTACACATTTGCTTTCTAGCCTCTGAAGGTTTATGGCTATTGTCTTCTTTCTCATTCTCTCCATTTTTTTAAATTTTTTTTTTTATTTTTTGGCCTTAAAAAAAAAATCTACTTACCATCATTTTGATGCGACTTTGAGAGGGAGCAGAAGTGTAAATGCATATGTTCAATCTGCCATTTCCCTCCCCACCCTGAGAGGCTAATCTGTATCTTCTAAAGTAAATACGATCAGCAAGTTTTTTTCACTCAACCCAACACACTGTAGAATACCCAAAGGACATCAACAGTTATTCCCTGCTTCCTAGACAATGCTTGTAAAAATTAAGTTGATTTTAGCCAACTTCATTTTTTCATTCCTATGAAGATTGTAAATCCCTTGGCATTTTGAATGAACTAAGGAATGTTGCCTAATTTTTAAATTAAATTCTAGCCTTCTTTATGATAAATTATATTGTTAAATGCACACGGAAAAATTCCTGGCATGTAGTGAGTAGCCAACATCAATTGTTTTTATTACAGCTGTTATTCATTATTTTATGATAAATATCTGCAGCCAAATTTTAAGCATTTTCTTCTTGTTTCAAGGTTTTTATATTTAAATTTTTGTGTTTCTGGGTTTTTGATTTGTTTGTTGCCATCTACCATCTCATTTAGATAAAAATATCTCCTTTGATCCAGCAATTCCAGTTCTAGCAATCTTCCCTAAGGAAATAATCAGAATTGCATATATAATTCTGTAGTGGTGTAGCTTATTACAACAACCACAAACCTAAATGCCAATAATAAGGGACAAATGAAAGAAATCATGGTATGGTTGTGTAATGAAATATTATGCAGCCATGAAAAGTGATTTAAAAAATAATAACATGAAAATTTCCAGAGATACATTTAGTTTAAAAGATAGCAGGAAAGAGTATAAAATTAGATTTTAAAAGAATATATGTATATGGAACCATATAAAAATACCAAAAGAATAAAAAAGTCAAACACTAGAAGAAAAGACATCAAATGTTAACAAGGATTATTTGGGAGCAAAACAATTGCTAAAGATTTCTTCCTTTTGTGTGTTTTTTGGAAATCTCTGTGTTCTAAAATAAAAGCGTATTGCCTTTGACATTTAAAACACAACAACAGACACCTATACGTATATGTATAAATATAATTTTAAAATAAACAAATTCTGCTTTGAGATATCCGCTGGGCTTCCAGGAGAGATGGGATCCCCTGGGGAGCCAGGACCTCCTGGACGCAAGGTAAGTTGAAAAGTCCTAAATTACACCAGATCCTTTTCTAAATAAAAAGTGCATGGAGTCTTCATTGTCCAAATGTGTATGCTTTCTGTCTTTGCACCTTAGTGGCTATTTTCACTACTTTTCCACATTTATGTGCTTTGAGATAGGAGGGGGTAATGCTGATTAAAAATCAGTTGCTATTTCTTGTGAGTTGAGGGGATTTTGAGCGAGGAAATGAAAAGTATTGGACTAAAATGTGATTTCCCAGTTGTCAGTGAATTTATTTGCCCAATCCTTGTCCTCTTATATTCAATAAGTGGTTAGTGAATGAAGGGAAGTGGGAGGAAATTAATAAACAGTCAATAAATGATCAAAGTTGCATTCACATGGAACTTATTTTTGCCAGGAGTTTGGGTGGAGCTTGATTGCGTTTTTCCTTGGGTGTCTCTCTTTGAGAGTAGCCAGACTCTTCCTGTTGCTAAGATGGAATTGAATAGGTGAAATTAAAACTAATTCCACTTTGTTCTTTTCCCAATCCAGGCAGTTCTGTATATATGTATATTCATTCATTTTTGGAACACTGTTGGGATTACCTTTCCAGATGTTCGGTTTGAGTCTGGTCCCTTTGTCATCCAACCAAAGATGGCAACGGAGGAAGGTTCAGTTCAGCTGTTTGGTAGCCAAGGCAAAGCACAGGATTAAGGAAGTCTGAACCTCCCTTAAGGACGGGCAGCTGTAATGGATAGTTCATCCTTATCTAATTCTAAGCCATAAACCTGCTCCACAGCTCTCCATGCCCGTGTTAAGTTTTCAGCTCATCCTTAGATTCTAGATGACCCTTGTTGTCCAGAGATGGGGCTGGAGGAAGGTGGCCTTTGGAGGTTTGTGTTCATCAAGGTTGCTGTTTACAATTTATTTCCCCTAGAATGTTACTCTTAACTTGGTGATGACGATCCTCCTACATGTATTCCTTTTTCCCCTCTAACTTAAGAATAAAAACTTTAGAAAAGTTCACTTTCTGAGGGTAATGCACATTCTGGCTACTGATGTGTGTGTGGAGCAGTGAGACCACATTTCTTTTGTTTCCTAGGGTGTGAAAGGGGCCAGAGGATTGGCTTCATTTTCCGTATGTATCTCCTGATTCCAACAAAATGCTCTGTACTTCATTAAGTTTATTTATTTTTAGACTTGAAGACCTGGCAGTCAGTCAGTTAATTCTTTGTTTTATTTTTGAACTGCAGACGTGTGAGCTCATTCAGTATGTACGGGACCACAGCCGTAAGTACCCTGCTTAAATTGATCACCCAAGTTGTCAAAGCATTCATAGAAGAAGAGCAGTGAATTATGCCCTCAGAATTGAGACAATTTACCAGCCAATCTCTTAAAATTACAGATGCCACTGCATATATTTTGAGTCAGCATAGACATAACTCCTTCTCTGACTGCCATCATGTCTTTTGGAACCTGTCGCAAGCACTAATTAATAATCTATCTAGTGCTTTTAACCTAGGGAAAATTGAGATAGGAGGTCAGAACTCTACCGATGGTGAAATCAATCAGTGGAGAGTAACACTGAACTTTTAAAGATGATTAATACCTGACAATAACACAAGATTGAGTTCATCTGGTGTGGAAGCTAGCTGTCATAATAGGGTGTCCTGATGGGTGGGAGCATTTAGTTTGGTTTATTGTTTATTACTTCTTTTCTGGAAAGGATGCTTGATTACTTTTAGTTGGAATGATTGATTCGCTTATAAAATTATTCATTTTGCCTACATATTTTTTCTCTTTCAAAATTTTTAAAGCGGAAAGTGCATTTTGATTGGCAAATGCTCTTTTGAATTTGTTTTAAGGCCCTAATAGCAGCCTCTTCTATAAAAATATATGTTAGCACCATTAAAGGAATTCCAGGTACAAGATGAGTAAAGAATTGACTATTTGACATTCATCTACAAATATGCAATGACTTCCCAAATGAACACTATGACTGAAAAATTCCTTCAAGGTATTTTGAGGAAGAAAAATTGACAAACTAGAGCCCGTTTCTGCAGAGAGCCTTGGTCTCAATGACATTGCCTTTTTAAACCTTTGAATGCAGTGTTGATCGTAACTGCCCCTTTTGGTACCATAACAGTACCATCCATGATGAGAATCAAAATATACAAGGTCATGAAGGCCAGTTGCTTTGGGCTGAATTAACACAGTGGGCTTTTTAACATTGGAGCCATGTGAACCATTATGATTCAAAGGTAGATCCAAGTGTGATGCCCAATCTTTTACAATTTGAGAGGCTTAATACAAAATTATAAATCCAAAAGTAGGTACAAAATTATTTCCAAAGAAAGTGTGGTTTAGAACAGGAAAGGAAATCACGACCAGCGACTTCTGCCTCTTCTAGAAGCACGTGATCACATGAACACATGGCTAGGTCCCTTCTCAGGGTCTTGTGCCATGCAAGTGAGAAGTTAAAAGCATCACGGTCGAGCGGAACTCTCTGCAGCGATAGAGGTGTTTCACCACACTGTTCAATACAGTAGCCGCTAGCCACCTGTGACTTTGAGTACTTGAAAGATGGTTAGTGCTGAGAACCTGAATTTGTTTCATTTAACTTTAATTCAAATGTAAATAGTCACATGGGGCTAGTGGCTTCCATATTGGACAGTGCCGACCTAAAGCTTATTTATGCTTCATCTACTTCAGAGTAAATCCACCTCTGATGTTCACACACACACACACACACACATACACACACACACACACACAAAAATACATATTTGTATTTGTGTGTCTATACATAAAATTAACACCTATAGATGCACACATGGGGAAAAAATTAAAGAGAGTTAGGACCTTTTAATTTTCCAAATTCCGTGTGCCTCTCTGTAGTATAATGTTCCTTCCCAGGCAAAGGTTCTTTCCCTCTGACAGCTGGCTGCGGGCTGCTGATTTATGACTGCATATTGTCCTGCTTCTCCCATCTTGTTTTTGCCAAGATGCTGGGATCCGTCTGCATTTTCTCCAAACTTTTTCTGTTGCCTTGAGGTTTGAGTCATCTGCAAAAAGCACACAGGGCAGAGCTTCTACTGCCATGACTTCCCTACACGGTACCGAACTCTGTTCTACCAAATAATAACCCAGTCTCCTTTGTTCTTCTTCCCCAGCTGGCGGCCATGGTAAGTAATCTTTATTTACAGCAAGTTATAATCAAGCTCCAAAATGTCATACATCTGGAAAGACGAGTTAAAACAAAGTGTTGCCTGCCAAATGATATAAATTTTATCTGAGCTGCCTTTGCTGCCTCATACTGGTAGCACAGACCCGCCTCCAATAAATCGCTCAGCTTTAGCTGAGTGTCCTGGCTGTTTCTCAACCAAGTGGTTTGATCTTTTAATTAATATTTTAATGAGTAACATTACCATTAACCTTACCATTATGGTTTTTTTTGGTAATAATAAGTCTCCCTCCCTTCATTTTCTCTCTCTGTCTATTGTCTCTGTAATCTAGTGGTTAAGAATTAAGATGTAGTAGGCAACTACCCTCTTACACCCTTATACCGTATACCTTATGTATAAACCCATCAACCCGTGCCCTCTAGTTGCATTTTCAGTCACTCCACAAATATTTATTGAAAGTGTTATTATGTGCTAGGTACTGGGGACACAGGGCTGACTAAGTTGGACATAATTCCTGTCTTCAGAAGCTTCCATTCTAGCAGAGGGTCCAGATGATAAACACGTGCACGAAATATGGAATCCAAAGGTTGCTGTGAAAGAGATAAAGAACAGGATGCTCTGTCACAGAAGAATGTTAGGGGGTGGGAAAAATGCTTTAGGATGGAGAGCTCCTCCTTGAGGCAGTGACATTGGAGTTTGGACTAAAGAATAAAAAGAAGGCCAGCTTATAAGAGCCAAGAGAAAGAACCAAATGCAGAGGCCATGATACAGGACAGACAGACCTAGGCATTTTCTAGGAACTGACACAAGTCCAGTGTGCCTGAGATCTAGGGAGGGAGGGGGAGACTGGCATGTGAAAAAATGAAGTAAGCAGAAGCCACATCAAGTTGGACTTTCTAGGCTTGGATAAGGAGGCTGGATTGTATTCACATTGACATGGGAGGGTATTAAAGAGTTTATTGGAAGCATTGAAGGGAGGAACATGAGCTGATGAATGAATTTTTAAAGCTTATTTGGACCACTATGAAAGAGTAGATTGTAGGAAAGGATAAGTTTAAAGGCCAGAGGACTAGTTAGGAGAGTGTTGTGGTAGTCCAGTCAAATGTGGTGGTGGCCTGGAGAGGGCTGCCATTGCTGTGCATTAGTTACATGTCAGTGGTTTGGCTTGTCTTGCTCCTCATCACCGCCTGCTCTGTGCTAATCAGCAGCCATCAGTGTACATGTATGTGGCTACAGAACCACCTTAGGTCTCTACGTGGCCATCCGTGCCTTGATGAGGGAGGGCCTCCTCGGTTCCACTACTATCCAGCCCAGTGTTCTTCACGATCTTCTGGTTCCTGACAGCTTGCTGGATTTCAGAAAATGTATTTTGCAAGTTGAATTACCTTTTAGGTGTTTTTTCCTGAACACTTGAATTTTTTCCTATTTCAGCCTAGTACTGTGAATCTTTTTTTTTCCTTTTATCTCTATATTATACCTGAAGCTGTATTATTGTTGTGTTGTTTCCATATGCAAATCACAGCCCAAACAAGAAGCTGGAAGAACCACTTTCACGTTGAGGCATACTTCCATTCATTTTTTATTGCAAAGTTGACATGACTTCATTTTTTTTTTTTAAATATCTGCTCAGCCTTCTAAGTTAGACTCAGACTAATAAATTATGTCCTGTTTCCACTGAGATGCACACTTTGTGAGTTGAGGTAAAATGTTTATTCTTACTGGTCCTTTAGCCTGTAAAGTCACAGAGTCCAGGACCAGAAGGAGATAATCATCTAGCGCCAAGGTGGGGGCTAAGCCCAGCTCCTCACAGAGGAGAACTTGATCCTTGACCAGCCCAGGCCAGCCCCAGCAGGTCTGAGTTTCTGAGCTCTTACAAAGAGCTGGTGGCCTTCGTGCTACATTTATTACCTCTGAATTTGACTTGCTGGCATCTGAACCAGAGGAGGCACCTCTAAGAGAAGTGCATCATTGTGATATCCTTTTACCAACATGCATCTCCACACCAGGCATCTCCCGCATTATTAAGGTTTTGTTGTTATGGCTGTACTTGTTGCAAAAGAAATGTTCTTTGTTTGGTTCTTCTTCATTCAGCCAATATTTATTAGAACCCTAATAAATGGCAGGAAGAAATAATCTGGCAGATCAAGAGAGACACAATCCCTATCTCCACACTTAATGGAGAGGAAAACATTAATCAGATAATCAGACAAATATAAATTATCAACTGTGATAAGTGCAGGGTACTGGGATTCATTAGAATGAATGAATGGAGATGAATAAATAAATCTGAAATTAACATTGAACATTCAAGTTTAATGATTCCGTTTCTCTGTGTAATAAGGTATGTTTATTGATGAAACTTGCCTTTTCAACTGTGAAATAAAAATATATCAGTGAAAGCTTTCCTCCCTGTGTTAAGTGATATAGTTCTCACAATGAAAAAGTCTGTAATGATAATTGTGATACTAATGGCTAACATTACTTGAGCACCTATTACATGGCAGGCACCGTTTTCCTAAGTGCTTTGCCTGTGTAGACTTATTTAATCCTCAACACAGGGCTATGCAGTGGCAGATCTTAGGACAGCATTTTACAGATGAGCGAAGTGAGGCACAGAGAAGACCAGTCACCTGGACAAGGTCACTTGGCTAGTGCGTAGTTGGGCCAGGGCTCTAAGGTGTCTGTGTGGTTCCTACTCTCCACATCTGATCGTCTCTTCTATATAGTGCATGTCTATTCCAATGGACACTTCCAATCTCTCTGAAATAATAGAGCTTTTGGACCCACTCCTGTTTTAACCCCTGTTACATTTCCTTATTAAGTTAAAAAAAAGTATGTTTTTGTTTAACTGTGTAAAAAGTTCTAGCAATAAACATGATATCGTGCGCTTTTTATTATTTAGAAGGAATTTGGTCATTAACTTAAAAATTGCATAAAAACTCAAATTGAATGGTAGACTTTCTCTTGCGCTGTATTTACAAGGGCAAATTCAGTTTTTAAAATAGCATTTTTATTCAAGATGAAAATATTTAGTATTTCAGCTGCTCATTTTAGCATGTAATGCTTTTTTAATGTTTAAATATTTATGTATTTAACATTTAAAATTTCTTTGCTCTCTCTGTATTTTTCTTTAACTAAGCATGCTACGTAAGGAACATGTTCTTGCCTCTTAGGAAAACCAGAATGCCCCGTGCATCCCACCGAATTAGTGTTTGCCTTGGACCAGTCCCGGGATGTCACCAGGCAGGAGTTTGAGCGCATGAAGGAGCTGATGTCATACCTGGTGAGGGGCGTCAGGGTCCGGGAGAACAGCTGCCCGGTGGGCGCGCGCATCGCCGTCCTCACCTACAGCTCCCACGCCCGGCACCTCATCCGCTTCTCAGACGCCTACAAGAAGAGCCAGCTCCTCAGAAAGATTGAAGCTATTCCTTACGAGAGGTCCTCAGACAGCAGGGAGATCGGCAAAGCGATGAGGTTTATCTCCAGGAATGTCTTCAAGCGAACGCTGCCAGGGGCGCACACCCGAAGGATCGCCACCTTCTTCAGCAGCGGTCAGTCTACTGATGCCCAGACCATTGCCGCGGCCACTATGGAGTTCGGTGCCCTTGACATCATTCCGGTCGTGATCGCTTTCAGCAACGTGCCCTCCATCAAGCGTGCATTTGCGGTGAGATGGTTAAGCCTTTCACATAACTTTTTTTTTTTTTTTTGGCCTAAATTCGGAAGCCTCCGTAAAAAAGTATTGAGCTATACTATTTATTTCTATGTGCCAGGAACGTGCTAAGCCCCTTGTATGCATTATCCTGTTTAATTTTCACAAGTAGTATGTATGGCATAGGTATCCTTGCTATTCCCATTTCATCAAGGAGAAAACCGCCAGGAGAGGCTAAATCTGTATGCCCAGGTTCACATGGCTAAGACGTGACAGTGTCAGGATTTGGACCCAGGTTTGCTATTCTAGTGCTTTTGCAAGAAATTCTGAGTTGCCGCTGGGTGTAAAGCTACTCAGTCAGGAAGGCCAGTAAACATTCATTGATGTCACTTATGTGGCCAGAGTAACAACAGTTGCTGTACCATGAAAACGAATTGAGCGATTTTATAACTTCACCAATCATAAATATCCCAATTATATGAAAGAAAAGCCATCCTAGTGATTATAGCTTCTTAGGTTGGGAATTAAAATTTCACTGTGTGACATTCCTAAATAAACCACTTGGGATTAAGAGGACCTTTGTTGAGGTAAATTGACATACAACGTATTAGCTAATAGGTGTGCAACATAATGATTTAATATTTGTGTATATTGTGAAAAGATAACCAGAATAAACCTAGTTAACATTTCACCATACGTAATTATAAAATCATTTGTTGTGATGTGAACTTATTTTTTTTTTTACTAAGTTTTTTATTGTAATTCCAAGATAGTTAACATACGGTGGTATATTAGTTTCAGATGTACAAGACAGTGACTCAACAATTCTACACATTATTCAGTGCTCATTGTAAGTGTGTTCTTAATCCCCTTCACTCATTTCTCCCATCTCCCCACCCTTCTCCTCTGGAAACCACCGGTTGGTTCTCTATAGTTAGGAGTCTCTTTTTAGTTTGTCTCTTGTCCTTGGTTTGTTTGTTTTTGTTTCTTAGATTACAAGTATGAGTGAGATCATACGGCATTTGTCTTTCTCTGACTGATGTATTTTGCTTAGCATTATAACCCCCAGCTCCGTCCATGTTGCAAATGGCAAGATTTCATTCTTTTTATGGCTGAATAATATTCCATTGTATATATATACCATATCTTCTTTACCCATTCATCTATCAGTGGATACTTGGCCTGCTTCCATAAATTGGCATTATTATGCTGCAGTTAACATACTGGTGCATGCATCGCTTTGAATTAGTGATTTCATATTCTTTGGGTAAATACCCAGTAGTTTGATTACTGTATTGTAGGGTAGTTCTATTTTTAACTTTTTTTTTTTTTAATTTTTTTTTTCAACGTTTATTTATTTTTGGGACAGAGAGAGACAGAGCATGAACGGGGGAGGGACAGAGAGAGAGGGAGACACAGAATCGGAAACAGGCTCCAGGCTCTGAGCCATCAGCCCAGAGCCTGACGCGGGGCTCGAACTCACGGACCGCGAGATCGTGACCTGGCTGAAGTCGGACGCTTAACCGACTGCGCCACCCAGGCGCCCCATTAACTTTTTGAGGAACCTCCATACTGTTTTCCAGAGTGGCTGCACCAGTTTGCATTCCCACCAACAATGCACAAGAGTTCCTTTTTCCACACATCCTTGCCAACACTCGTTGTTTCTTAAGGTTTGGGTGTAGCCATTCTGACAGGTGTGAGGTGATATCTCATTGTAGTTTTGACTTGAATTTCCCTGATGATGCGTGATATTTTCATGTGTCTGCTGGCCACCTGGATGTCTTCTTTGGAGAAATGTCTGTTCATGTCTTCTGGCCATTTTGAATTGGATTCTTTGTTTTGGGGGGTGTTGAGTTGTATCAGTTGTTTAATATATTTTGGAAACTAATCCTTTATCAAATATGTCATTTGCAAATAACTTCTCTCATTCAGTAGGTCCCCTTTTAGTTTTGTTGACTGCTTCCTTTACTGTGATGAAGTTTCTTATTTTGATGTACTCTCAATAGTTTATTTTAGCTTTTGCTTCCCTTGACTCAGGAGACATATCCAGAAAAAAAGAATACATGGCAATGTCAGAGAAATTACTGACTATCCTCTTTTCTAGGATTTTTATGGTTTCAAGTCTCACCTTTAGGTCCTTGATCCATTTTGAGTTTATTTTTGGGTATGGTGTAAGAAAGTGGTCCAGTTTCATTCTTTTTTGTATGTTGCTGTCCGGTTTTCCTAACATCATTTGTTGAAGAGACTTTTTCCCATTGCATATTCTTCTTTCATCAAAGATTAACTGACCATATAATCATGGGTATGTTTCTGGGCTCTCTGTCCCATTCCATTGATCTAAATGTCTGTTTTTGTGCCAGTACCATACTGTTTTGATTATGATAGTTTTTCAGTATAACTTGAAATCTGGTATTGTGATACCTCCAGCTTTGTTTTTCTTTTTCAAGATTGTTTTGGCTGTTTGGGGTCTTTCATAGTTCCATACAAATTTTAAGATTATTTGTTCTAGTTCTGTGAAAAATGATGTTGGTATTTTTATTTAATTTTTTTAAGATTATTTATTTATTTGAGAGAGAGAGAGAGGCAGGGAGGGACAGAGGTAGAGAGAAAGAATCCCAAGCAGGTTCCACACTGTTGGCACAGAGCCTGATGTAAGACACGAACTCCTGAACCACAAGACCATGACCTGAGTGGAAATCAAGAGTCAGATGCTTAACCGATTGAGCCAACCAAGTGCCCCCAAAATGCTGTTGGTATTTTGATGGGTATTGCATTGAATCGGTAGATTGCTTTTGGTAGTGTGGACATTTTAACAATATTTGTTCTTCAAGTCCATGAGCATGGAATGTCTTTACATTTTGTGTCATCTTCAATTTCTTTCATCAGTGTTGTGTAGTTTTCAGAGTGTAAGTCTTTCATCTCCTAGGTTAAGTTTATTCCTAGATATTTTATTCTTTTTGGTGCAGTTGTAAATGGGATTGGTTTCTTAATTTCTTTCTGTTGCTTCATTATTGGTGTATAGAAATGTAACGTATTTCTGTACATTGACTTTGTATTTGTGACCTTACTGAATTCACTTAACAGTTCCAGTAGTTTTTTGGTGGGGTCTTTAAGATTTCTGTATATGGTATCATGTCATCTACCAATAGTGACAGTTTTATTTCTTCCTTACCAATTTGGATGCCTTTTATTCCTTCTTCTTGTCTGATTGCTGTGGCTAGGACTTCTAGTACTATGTTGAATAAAAAGTGGTGAGAATGGACATCCTTGTCTTGTTTCTGTTAGCAGAAAAGCTCTCAGGTTTTCATCATTGAGTATGATGTTAGCTGTGGGGTTTTTATATATAGCCTTTATTACGTTGAGGTATGTTTCCTCTAAACCTGCTTTGTTGAGAGTTTTTGCCATGAACAGATGTTAAATTTTGTCAAATGCTTTTTCTGCATCTATTGAGATGATCATATAATTTTATCCTTTGTTTTATTAATGTGATATATTGATTTGCAAATGCTGAACCATCTTTGTGTCCCTGGAATAAATTCTACTTCATTGTGCATGGTGAGTGATTTTTTTTTTTTAATGCCTTGGTTTTTTTTTTTTTAATTTTGTAAATGTTTATTTATTTTGAAAGATGTAGAACAGAGAGAGAATTCCAAGCAGGTTTCAAGCTGTCAGTGAGATAATATCCAGTGCAGAGCCCAACACAGGGCTGTAACCCACAAATGGTGAGATCATGACCTCGGCTGAAACCAAGAGTCAGATGCTCAGCCAACTGAGCCACCCAGGCACCCCTCCATTAATTTTTTGTCTGATTTTCTGTTTTGCTTTTGGTAAGCTCCCTTTTTTTTTTTTCTGAATGTAGTTTGATAATATTTTGTTGATGATTTTTGTGTGTATGTTTATCATAGATATTAGCATATAGTTTTCTTTTTTTCTTCTTTTTTTTGTGATGTCTTTGTCTGGTTTTGGTGTCAGGAAATATATTTGGAAGCTTTCCTTCCTCTTCTGTTTTTTAGAATAACTTGAGGAGAATAGATATTAACTCTTCTTTGAATATTTGGTAGAATTCACCTGTGAATCAGTCTGGTTCTGGACTATTCTTCTTGGGGAGCTTTTTGATGACTGATTCAGTTTGGTTACTAGTAGGTGGACTGTTTAGATTTCCCCTTTCTTCTTCATTCACTTTTGGAAGGTTGTATGTTTCTAGGAATTTATCCATTTCTTCTAGTTTGACCAATGTGTTGGCACATAATTTTTCATAGTTTTCTCTTCCAATCCCTTGTATTTCTGTGGTGTCAGTTATTACTTGTCCTTCGTTTCTCATTCACCTATGAAATATTATATGCCAAAGCTATGTTATTATGGCTACCAACTCTTTTTTATATCATTTTGCACATGATTGTAAGTTTGTCTGTTAAAAGATTTAAAAACTATTCTACACATTGGAAAGATTCACTAGTATCTGAACTTTATTATGTACTTGCATAAAGCTGTAGACTTTAGATTTTGGTTCCCAATAATCTAGGAAAGTAACTGCTAAAAGGCTTGCCTTTGGTTGTTTCCCTCCCCCACCCCCCCCAAAAAAAAGAAAAGAAAGTCCTATAGCAACAGTATTGATATTTATGCAAATGCTGTCATATAATGTTTTGGAGAAAAGGTTGCTTTCTACTTTTGAAAAGTTTTGAAGTCATATGCTGTTCTTGGTTTGTTGGAAATTGGAGATTACTGTGTCTCCTTTTTTCAGACATCTTTATAGTTAAAAAAATTTTTTTTTAATTTTTATATACAATTGATATTAACATTATTTTAGTTTCAGGTTGTACAACATAGTGATTCAATATATATAT